GCCAGGCAGTAGGCCACCTCACGCCCGCGGCCATTGGCATCTTGGCAAAGCACGGTGTAGAGCTCAAAGTCTGCATCAAGGCAGGCAGCACGCTCCAGGAAGAGGCGAGCTGGGAAATGTTGCACAAGCTTGCGCATGTGTGAGGTAGCCAGGAAGATGCTGTTGAGGACAGCCACATCCTCCTGGAAGACAAGTTTGACTTTGGCCCCTGGATCTGCCTTGAAGAGAGCGTCCAGAACAGCCAGGAGGTCGCACATGCCCTTGTCTTTGGCTTTGCTGTAGTCCTCCAGGTTCCAGATAAGGTCAGGTGCCAGAAAGCGCTTGGAGATGCTGTTGGTGATGCGGATGGGCAGCCCTAGGCTGGCCCTCAGCTGGTGCCGCTTGAAGTGATGGGCAAACTCCAGCTCCGACAGGCAGTGGTTGTGCTCCAGGTTGGCCTCAATCACCACCAAGCGGTCCTTCTTGGGACCAAGGCGCAGAGTGATAGAAGCTGGGCAGTCGATCTTCTCACTGCTACAAAGGAGGAGATGGTGGGGGGGGGGAAGGGTGTTTGTTTAGTAAGAAGCGATAGCATTATTGGCACTGGACTTCAATGGATACTGGTAGGAACTGCTGTCACTGCCAGTCCCTCCCTGTCTGGGGGTCCGTCCCCGTCCCCCCATTGTAGTTTGTATTGTAGTTTAGCCACCCAGAGTGGCTGCGGCGACCCAGCCAGATGGGCGGCGTATAATTATAATTATTATTATTATTATTATTATTATGACTATGTCTATTATTAGCAGTGCTTATGTCAAAAAAGGCAAAGAGGGCCAACCAATTCTGTAGGTTTTATTCAGAAAAGCATGCCTTAATTCTGCACTATACACTTGGGGTTTTGAATTCAGGAGTAATTACAGCACAAGGAATATCTTGTTTGGTGAGGACCTATGAAGAAATCCTAGGGTTTTGCTTTCTATAGAGCAGGGATAAGCAGCCTGTGCCCCACCAGAGGTTGCTGGACTACAGCTCCCATCATCTTTGCCCACTGGCCATGCTGACTTGGGCTGGTGGAACCCAAAAACATCTGGAGGCTAAGCTATAGAGGATCAATCAGTGTCTCTTTGAGGGTCTCAATGATACTGGGGGAATGGGAATCGGAGAGAATTTTAGCTTGTAAACATCTCGGAGCATGGGGCCTGTGCAGCAACATGCATGCAGACGGCATTATATAATCAAACACGCGATGGACTTACAGGCGGTTGCGTTGCACCGTGCTCTGCCCCACATAGGTCCCGCTGTGCTTGCAGATGAGACGCACAAAACGGAAGCGGAGTGTCTCGGCGAGGCTGGGCTGATAGTGCGGCGGGTTCTGGCGCAGTGAGATCAGTGGCTTCAGGCTGGCAATGATGAAGAGCACTTTGTGCTTTTCGCACCAGTCGTCAAAGAACGTGCTGAACTGGTGCCAGGTGTGAAACTCCCGGCCCAGGCCGAGGTCCCCCATGGCATCTGTGAGCAGAACACAGCCATTCAAATAATAAGAGAAAGCAGAAGGAGGAGGCAGTGAGATTGGCGGTTCCAGTGATGGCATTTGTAGCCAGCAATTTCCACCCAAAAAACTTCATATGTCTCTTAAGACACCTTCTGCAATCTAACTTTTCCTACAAGATGCATATCTCCATATTAAAATGCAGGCTTTGTATTTTGTTTAGACACATTATGTAAAACACTATTTAGATTCCACAAATCTGGACACGTGTTCTTATTAAGTAGTTGAAGTTGTAATCCTATGCACACTTCTCTGGGAGTAAGTCATCTAGGGAACTGGACTGCAAATTTGGTACACAATTAAGGAAGCTAGTACAGTACCTGCCAAAGTGAATATGCTTAAAGTCTTTTCTTTACAGAGATCTAGTATCCACTGGCAATCATGCCATGAAGACTTGTTGCCACTCTTTGGAGAAAAAGTAACCTGAAGAAAAATATATATGAAGATTTATAAAAGTACCAAATATGGGAATATTTTGAACTACTAGTAATTACCATGCCCATGGGAGGTTGTTGGTGCCTCTGAATTAAGACTGTAAGTAGCAAGAGATGTGATGCAGTTTTAGGGGTGCCCATTGCAAAGCTGAGGCAGGGCAGGGGATGCACTGCAGCTGTCAGATCTAAGTTGTGACAATGTTTATGTACTACAAGAAGTATGGCATGTATGTGTACGGGTGCAAGAATGGAAAAGTTAATGGCACCTGTCACTTGGGTTCACCCAAATGGACTGAAGTTAGTAGGAAACTGAAAACAGTTATTCCTGGGCTGGCACATATAAAGCATGATGGATTGCACAAATCTGAGCCCGCCCACCCACATGCACACTCACTCACTCACACTTATTCATGCATGCAGACACAACAAAACATACATCATATGCTGCAAGAGACATAAATGTGTGCATTTAATCCATACAGCAGTAAATGCAAAAATATATATGCCTGTATGATGAGGAAGGGGAACATGCTTAAATGAAAGTGCACGTATTTATGCATGCATTTTATAAGCTCGGCCAATTCGGAGCTGTGCGCTCTGGGGCCCCGACTCCCACCCTTCCAGCTTCAGAGAGCGCCCCCAGCTGTCTCTGGGAATCCCAATCCCGTGTTACTCTTCGCACCCGCTCCGCCCGGCAAAGGACCCCGGATGGGACCCATACCTGGCCGGCTGTCTCCTTACTCCCTCCAGCCACCTTGGATCTCTGCCTGTCCGGGATGCGGCCAGAGAGCCAGGCCCGCTCCTAGCGAAACAAACCCGGGCGCTCCGTCTCCCGCTTGCTGATTCCGGCATGGCGACGGAGGCGAGCCGCGAGCTCCGCCTGCTGGAGCTTCCAGCAACGCAGCCTGCTCCGTGGACGGCAGCACTGCGTTGCCAAGAAAGAGCAAAGTCTAGGTGGCTAGAGGAGCAGAACGGAAAGGATCACGAGGAGGGCTGACGAGGGAGGACGGCGCGCGAAGAAGAGGGTGCCTCTGAGCGTGTGCAGAGTGCGTTCCCGTCGCGCACTCAAGATTAGGAGCTGAACTTGGCTTCGAACTGGGAAGTCGCAGTAGCTCGGCAATCCCAGCGCGCCAGGTGATGACCAGGGAAGAGCTGGGTTCGAACCCCGACTTAGCGATGGGGGTTCAAGTTAGGCTAGTGACTTTCTCACAGCTTTACAGACCTCAGATAAAGAAGGAAACTGCTGCGCCCCCCTGCGCTCCTCAGAGGAAGAGCAGGGCAAACATGTCACGAATTAGCAACACACACACACACACACACACACACACACCGGCTTTTTGCCGGAGGTAGTGTCCTTAAATGAAATATTTTTGAAGGGAGGCTGGCTGATGTTCCCTTACTTTGCACGTGCTCACGAGGCCCTCTTTATTACCGTGGCGCGAAACAAGTTTTGTAGCTGTAGTCTTCTCTACAAACAAACTAGGGGGAAAGCTGCACTTGTTGAACTTCCGCCTGAGGGTCAGCTGCTAAAAGGCACAAGAGAAAAGATGGCATGGGCGTTTTATTGTGTGACCCGACTTTACTGAGGGCGGTCCTCTTGTTTAAAAGGCTCCCTCGCCCTTGCCTAGTTTAAAAATTGCTCATCCGCACAGGGACAGCCGACTGAGCGGGTACTCAAGCCCCTCCCTTGAGATGAATTTCATTTCGATTATAGAAACCATTTCAAAATGTACGCCAGTATACAGTGGTGCCCCGCAAGACGAATGCCTCGCAAGACGAAAAACTCGCTAGACGAAAGGGTTTTCTGTTTTTGCGTTGCTTCACTAGACGAATTTCCCTATGGGCTTGCGTCGCAAGACGAAAAACATCGCAAGACGAAAAGACTCGCGGAACGAATTATTTTCGTCTTGCGAGGCACCACTGTAAATGAGTATATCCAAATCTGTTTCCTTCCTTTATGAATCGTTAAGTGGCCACCTAGCGCATTTAGGAAGTGCCTTCACTTTGCTCCTGGTGCAGAAGTGCTGTCGTCTTGACACGTTGCCGCACGGCAGCTCGGACCCCATGGCACACCAGACGAGCCAGGGAGAAGAGTCCGGACTGCAGCTGAAATGAATGGAGCTGGAGCTGCCAATGGAAAAAACAGTGCGCCAGAGCCAGCGAAAGGGAGTGAAGGATGAGCCTCTTTCCCCCCCCCCCAGCGGATTGACAAGCATCTCGACCACTCGCGAGGGCGCATTTGGGAGAAAGATGCGCGATGCTGCTCTGGCCGGGGCGCAGCTTGTCTTGGCTTCATTACTACGCGAGCAGCTCTGGAAGGTGGGCGCGTGGAGAGATTCCTGAATGGGCTGCCAGGGCTCAATCTGCGCAAGGTTGGGTGCCCGGGCAGACAGACAAGGTGCCCCCTTTTGTGCGGGAGAAAAGAGAGCTGTGGTTGATGGGGGGAAATGTAGGATTCGTGCAGAAGGGTTATAGGGGTGTGTGAAGGAGAGGCTGAATGTATGTGTGGGCAGGACCACAGCCATCAAACGTGGAGAGTCCTTTGGGAAAGGTGTTTGTTATTTGTTAAAAGAATTCCTTCTATAACACTGACAGGAGACTTTAAAATAAAACAGAGCATTTTTAAGGAGGAGGATTTGGTAATCATCTCAATATTTCTATTCTTAAAATACTTTGGCACCTGGGCCCCATACAGTGCAATTCTATATGCATGTCAACTCAGACTGAAGTTCCTGCCCAGCAAGTTGAGTGGAACTTATTTCTAGGTAAGGTAAGTGTATACGGAATTGGGAGCCTTAATTGTGCTTTGTGAGCTCTTTTCACGACAACAATTATGTAACACAGGTTCTATTCATTGTCCATGAGTTATAAACTGAGAGGTAACAACTGAAGGATGGTTGTAGCCATGTTAAGCAGGATATGTAGAATTAAACATCGTTATTACAACATTAAACTTTTTTTAATGTGCAAACTACACAAAAATAAAGCTTTAATAAAAATTTTTTACGAAAACAATTCCTTTTTTCTTTCTCTCTTTTTTTAAAAAAACCCTAAAATTTACATATGCAGCTATAATCATTGCAGGTTTCCAAACATGCAATTTTGGTGTATCAACAGTGTTACAGGGGTTAAAACTGGTAGTGTTAGAAAGGCTTGAAATACTGAAACGTGTTTTGACAGGCTTGTACAAATAAACAGAGGCAGAGTTCCAAAAGCTACGTTAGCCATACGCAGTAGGATTTTTAAAAACTCCCCCCACCCTTTTGAATACCAGACCTCCCATTTCTTATCACAAACTACTTCTGAAATGCTTTAGTGGTATGGAAAGCTGTTATTTGAGGAAAAAAACACAAGTCCAAGGTCCCCCTTGGGCATGTGAAACTATGGAGACTCTCTTAATTCTTAAAAGTAAAAAAAATAAATAAAAGTAAATTAATTGGGTGGCGAGAAAACTAGTTTAAGAGGGAGATCTCCTGCCACAAACTGTAAAAGGAGAGGTTTGAATGGACAACAAATATTCTTTATGAATTGCTCCACTTCTAAATTGAGAGGCTATGAAAAAAGAAACACAAAGAAAAGTTGAATGTCAGTAGAACAGATCTCTTCCACATTGCAATAGTGAGTATGTTTTGTTAAAGACCACCATGAAGGAGGAAGTGGTTTGAAGGCCTTTGAGGTGACACATTACCAGGAGTTTGCTCCAAACTAACAGAATTCTGACTCTGTCATTTCTTAGACAAAATATGATTGGTTGGCACCCACCCACATGGCTTTCCAGGTCATCCAATACAGATACTTTGAGCTTGCATTCCTATTTATGATAATAAGTTTTGAGGGTGAAGCTTATCTTTTCACTGCTCAGATTTCAATATTCAGACAGCTATTCTGTCAGTTGAAAAGCGTGTGTGGATAAGATGCCATTCAATCACATTGCGTTTGTGTGTAGTTTTTACTAGTTCCGCATGTAGGTCCTGTGCAACTGACACAAGAGGAATCCTTGTCCATCTTTCACAACGGCATTAGGAGGAGCAAATATTTCCCGCTGTAAATGCAGGTTGGGGCTTCTTTGCCTTCTTCCACCCCACTCCCCTCCATAAACTGACAAACATCCAAAGGAAAACAAACAAACATACAACCCATCTGAGCTGCTGAAGGCATTCTTTGCTTCGATTATGTTAAAGGTAACCACCTAGTCATCAAAAGGCAGTTCCTGCTTCTAAAGAGTTCCAGGACGAAAATAAAAATAAAAAAGATCCCCTAGGTTTAGAGTATTTCCTAAAAAAAAATTCTCTACATTCAAGTCAGCTACAATTCCAGCCTTTGCCTTCAAGTCAGCTGAAGGGCTCTTCTCTCTCCTGCATGCTCTGCTCTGTACTGAACTGCAGCCCGAAACTTTCTGCGCATTCGCAACACCCGGCCTTCCTGTCGTGGCCCCCCTGGCCCGAATTCCACTTTGCATTCTTCCCGCAAAGTGAACAGCGGCTCGCTTCCTCCCGCAGGTGGGTTCTCATGTGGTTCACCAGGTTGAATTTGTGCAGGAACCTTTTCCCGCATTCGGTGCACTGGTGGGGCTTGACCCCAGTGTGGACCCTCCGGTGCCTGGTGAGGGTGGATTTGCGAGAGAAGTTCTTCCCGCATTCAGGGCACGGGAAAAGCGCGTCTTGCTTATTCGCAGGCTGCTGGCCGTCGACGTTCTGGCAGGCAAACTGGGCTGGCTGCAAGGTGGGGAGCATCCGGCTTCTCTGCTTCTTTATGCTTTCCTGTATTAGAAAGCCCCCTCGTTTTTGGTCTGGATCTCTTCACCTGCTGGATGGAAAGAAAAATTCCCATTTTAAGCAATCTATCAGACTAGTAGAAACGCTTGATAATTTCGCTGCTGGAAAGAAGGTGGTGTGTGTGAGAGAGGGGTGCCAAAAGCTGAAGGGTCGCTGCTGGAAGGCATGCAATCTGATCCATAACCTATTGCTTCGCCTCCCTTCCTAAATATGTGGGGACTAGTTAAGATTCTGCATTGGCAAGGGAGGCAGAAGTTTATTTAGGGTGGGCTACATGGTTCTTCTCTATCCTTTATAACCTCTCAATTAAGCATTTTAATTGCGCTCCGTTTTTTTAAAAAAGGAAATACTTATTACAGATTGGTTTGCTTTATCCTGAATTTAAATGTTGGTGGTGGTTTGCTCCTGTTGTGGAGCAGCTATATAAATGCAGCAAGTGAAACAAATAATTCTGTAAGGTAGATCAGACTGAGAGCTGGCGGCTGCACAGTGACACAATGAGCTTCACAGCCGGGTGGGAATTTGAGTCCTATTTCAATACTATAATCATTACTGAACACTGGCTGTCAACTCTGCACATGACCTGGAGCTGTCACCTCCAGTTAGTTGCTTATTTACATAATTTATAACCTGGACCTTCAACATAATTTAATGCATCCAGGGTGGTTAATAAAGTAGCAAGGAAAGTATACTTTAAAAAGATAACAAATCATACAACAAACCATTCAAATAGATAGGAACCATCCAGAATTGTACAGTGTTAAACATGCTAAGATTAGCAGCTCTTAACAGTCTGGGGAAACAGAAATGTTTCTGCCTGGTTTCTAAAGTATAGTACCAAGGGGGCTGCTTACGGAGGACATTCCAAGGCTAGGAGCCACCACTGAAAAGGCGCTCTCTCTGGTTGCCACCCAATGCTCTTCAGATGATGGGGGAATCCTGAGAAATACCTTATATATGATGATCTCAGTGGACAGGCATGCTGATGCAGGAAGAAGGCAATGTAAAGGTATTTAAATCTTTAACCGTGGAGGCTTCAAAGGCTAGGACCAACACTCTGAATTGCACAAAGCTTAGAGAGAAACACTTAAGATCATGTTAACACAATGAATGGTAGTGGGTTGGATCCAGACTTGGGCTGCAATCTTATACCCACATCACTTGGGAGTAAGCCCCATTGAACTTAATGGGACTTACTTCTGAGTAGATGCGTATAGTTTTGCACTACAAGCTAATTGCACTTGGTTCCCACAGAAATCAAGTGGACCTAAGTCTAACTGACTAACTCTTCACTTGGGTTTTAATGGGAACTGAGTAAAACTAAGTTAGTCTGGATGCAGCCCATTACAAATATGAGTCTTAGCACTGAAAACAGGACTTAGCCTCATGACCTCTCTCAAATGCATTCCACAAAAATATGCCATTTTAGACATGAAGCTAAGTGTAACTTCCTTGAAGCGCAGAATGAATGCACAACAGAGGTGCCACGTGAGCCTATTTTTCTCTGAGGTACTGCACAACACACTGGCTGCCTTGTGTTAATAATCCCAGAGCTGGGAACCCAGAGAGAAAGGGAGGAGATATTCCAAAGGGGTGGAGGGGAGAGAGAGAGAGACAGTGAAAAAACAGTATAGGAGAGCAACCCGTTAATACTCTCACCTGTACTAGAATGCTATTGCAAAATCCTTACCCAATGAAGTGGCATTTCCGTTCATCTCCTCCTTGGCATCTCTGCAAAGCATCGTCTGCCTGGTGTCCAAGGGCACTTGCTCAGTTTCTGGGAAGCTCACAGCCTCCTCGAGTACAAAAGGCCCCAGCACCTGAAAAAGCAGGAAGGACCCCATTCAAGCCAGAGAGGGGTATGTTCATAAGATCATACCATTGAAGGACATGTCAGTTCAAAAAAGATAAAGGCTACAGGTTCAGTCCCCGGAGCCATCACTTTAAAAGGAGCACAGACTGGAAGGCAAGCAAGGAAAGAGCTCTGTCTGGAAAACAGCATTCAGTTGGGGAAGAGAGAGAGAGAATGTGCATGTATACTGGTCTAGGTGGGCAAAGGCCTGATTCAGGGCACATTCAAATGTGCACAATGAAGGGGGAGGCTTGGATTAACAGTGCAGGAGTTAAGGCATGGCACCCTGTTGCTTCCTCACCTGCACTGCGGTCTCATTGTGAACAACAGAGAAACGAATCAGTTTAGCAAAGGACTTCACATTTAACAAAATGAAGTTTCTATGTTGATGCTAGCCATTTCGTTTGCAAGTCACTATTAACCGCAGTGTACAGAAAAGTTAAAACGAAACAAACCTCCCCCACATACCCTTCCTGTGAATATAGCTTCCAAATGGGACATGATTTCCACACCTATCACTCAAATCTCTCTGTATGTGCAACTTGTAGTGGTATAGTACCTCTGTCTGTGAGGACTGCACCACCTCAGTTATGTACATTCTGTTATCTTGGTGTGTATTCTGGGACTGTGAGCATGCAGTACATACCAAGTGAAAAATTTAGAATCATGAATCAGCTTGTAGTGTTTTTGGTTGTTGTTGTTGTTGTTTTTTAATAAAAAAACCTACGTGTAAGCCTTACGAGATTTGTCCAATAATGGATGAAATATTACAAGCTCAAAAGAAAAGGCAGCGTTTCTAGCCTTCAGAGCATGGCACATCAGCACCCACATAGCAAACACTGGCTCTTTGAACAGTCTTAGGGTTTTACATGCATTCTTGTGTATAAATGGCAAAGAAAAGCTTTTTAATAAATATAAAATTGTTATTCCCCAGGGTTCTGTGCAAGCGTTTTGATCTTGTGGTAGACCTCAGCAACAGGATCACAACCCTGCAGCTTCCTAAAACTTTCAGTTACTACAACAAAAAGTTCTCACCTGCTGATCCCACCTCTCGCCTTCCTGCTGCTTCAGCAGGAAGTGCTCTGCCAGGGTCACGGCCTGAACGCAGGTCTTGGGGCGATATTCCTGAACCCAGTCCTGCATTTCCTCTGGCAGGATGGTCAGGAACTGCTCCAGGACCAACAGCTCCACAATCTGCTCCTTGGTGCGGCTTTCTGGCTCCAGCCAGCGGTGGCAGAGCCCCCGCAGGCGGGCACAGACCTCGCGAGGGCCCTCGGCCTCCTGGTAGCGGAAGTGCCTGAAGTTCTGGCGCTGCCTCTCCAGACTGACGGCATCCTCTCGCAAGATGGCGGCCTTCACTTTCCCATAATCCCCGCTCTCTCTGGGATCCAAGTTATTGTAGGCCTGGAGCGCGGCTCCGTTGAGGGCGGGCATGAGCCGCGTCACCCACTGTTCCTTCGGCCACTTGCAGGCCTCAGCCACGTCCTCAAAGGTAGCCAGGTAGGTCTCAACATCTTCCGTCAATGTGAGTTCTGGCACTTGCAGGTTCCTCCACGCAGGCGACTGAACTGGCGTGAGATCTGGAGTTGGCAATTCCTGTTGCCCCTGAATCTCCCACCGCTGGGGTGTTTCCAGCCGTTCGCTCCTGGTCTGCTGAGGTGTTATCAGCCTTAGGCCGCCTCCAGCTGTCCCAACCTGCACAATACGGTAGGTTTTTACTGACCCCTCTGATATCCCCAGTGTGTCAGAACCCATTGGGTCTGGCTCCTTCTCCATTTTCACCGACGGCTGCACTCTTTGCTCCAGTGGTGCCGGACACTGGAGATACTGAGCTACCATATTCCGCTTGGCTGCCATTTTCCTCCTCATTTTTGAATCGGTTTCTGAGTTTATGTGGCCTTTCACTAGGGTTTCCAACACCCAATTTGCCACCAGGAGAGCCTATCAGCTGCGGAAAACTCCTATGGCTGTCTTGATGCCAACCTGGAGGGGTGATAATCACACACAAAATGGTAAGAATTAGAACCATTTAAATTGTAATTTCAGCAACATTATTAACAAGGCAGCAGGCTTCAATCAATCCATAGGTCAACAAGGGCTCTAAAAATCTACCAGTTTGCTAGTCTTGTGAAAGAGATTTTGTATGCTTGAAATATCATTAGCTAGAATGAAGGCACAGAAAGTTCAGGCAAAACAAACAAGCAAAAACAATCTGATTCTGTCTTCTGAAAAGGGTGTGTAACAGTGGTATTTGAAAATAAGCAACACATTTCTTGCAAACCTCTTAGAGGTTTTACTATAGTCAATCAGTATACGTTTTGTAAAATAAGCAAGCACACATTCTGCATCAAAAAGCTGGCTTGGTTACATTTAAAACTGTCTTCAGAGGCAGCCCTACATATAACACATTGCAGTAATCTATCCTAGAGGTTGTCAGAGCGTAGACGACATTAGTTAGGCTATCCTTGTCCAGATAGGGGTGCAGCTGGGCCACCAGCTGAAGCTGATGGAAGGCACACTGTGCCACTGAGGCCATCTGAGCCTCAAGCAACAGCAAGGGATCCAGAATATGGTTACCAGATTTTTTTCAATGAATCTGGGGACTCTTTTATTGTTTTTGAAGCTGAGTAGCAAGATCCTGGGCCCAAGTACACATGCATATTGTATAAAGGTGCAAATCCCTTCTTTTGCACCCTGTGAAACATAAATGCAGTTTTTTTTAAAAAAAAAACTGGGCAATGGCCACCCGCCTGCAACTCCCGAGCCTTCCCTGATCAGACAAAACAAAGGGGGAAGGGGGCAGGAGATTTGTACCGCCGGATGTCCCCAGTTCCCCTTCAGCCGTGGCAGCAGCCCGGAGGCAGCCTGGTAGTGCAGTTGGCTCTGGCTGGCTTCAGCAGCCGCTTGCTGCTGTGGCGCCCGCCACTTTGCCTCCCAGAAGTCCCCATATGATGTGTCTAGTGTGCAAGCACATCATATGGGGACTTCCGGCGAGGAAAAATGGCAGGTGCCATGGCAGCGAGCAGTAAGCAGCTCTTGAAGCCAGCCAGAGCCAACTGCGCTACCAGGTTGGCTCTGGGCTGCTGCTGCCACAATTCCCGGGGACAGATTTGCAAATCTGGGGACTGTCGCCAGGAAGCGGGGACATCTGGTAACCCTAATCCAGAAGTACCCCCAGCTGCGTACCCGCTCCTTCATGGGGAGCATAACCCCACCAAGAGAAGGCAAACCTATTACTTTTTTTACACCAGAGAAATCTGGAACACGTAGTGCGATTCTGAGCCAGATCTTGGGGCTACCTTCTTTCCCCCTGCCCACACACATTTGTTCACCTCAGTACCTGCAAATGTATTAACTGATACACTTGTTAGACCAACATATACTGTGTGTGTGTGTGTGTGTGTCTAGCAATCCTACTATGCCCTGTTCAAAAACCACTGCAATAAAATCAAACAAGAGAAGTAAAGGATGAAGTCAGGAAAGGACAGAAAAATGAAACACAGGGTGTTTTTTGAGGGGGGAGTGGGTAGCTCTTACTGGTCTGATTTCTCACGTGCAATGGTGCTTCTTGCCAACCAAGAAGTCCAGCGAGCATCAGCTTGCACCCTTCCAAGTCCACCCAAGTGTTCGCCACAGCTGCCTCAGATAGTCAATGCCTTACCCCCACTTCTTGCCTTTGCAATTCCCATTGCTTTCTGGAATGGATGGCACCACTCCTCTCCGCCCTCCCCCTACCCACCCACCCTGAGCATGCTCAGATCAAATGGGCTGTGCAACTGACTAGGCTTCATTGCACCCATGTGGTCACAGACCACTTTGTATTTCCCACAAACAGTAGAGCACTGTTAAGAATGTATGCAATTGGCCGAGCATTGCAGACAAAAGGCCAGCCCAGGAGAGAGCATTGGCTTCACAAAAGAAGGCCATCAACTTAGCCGGACTGCAGGGCTCCTTTCTTTTTCAGGATTCTGCCCCCACCCATGCACAATAATCACCTTCACAAATACATGCGCATTATTATCTGCCCACAGTGCTTAGTTTCTATGGCCACATGCATACCAGAGTTTATACTTTTAAAAAAGTTGTTTAAGCCTCTAGGCAGGCCTAAAGTGCTTTTTTTTTTTAGCCATCTATGTGCAGGGATTAGCACATTCTTAAGAACATTATCACTTAACTACAGCAAAAGATAAATTCTGTGCTTTTTAACAACCACATTAGAAGCACTTTCCTGCTATTGGGAGACTAAAAGCTTTACCAGTTGACTCCTGTTGGTCATGCAGCTGTGAAATACCTGAAACATTCACTTTTAAAAAGAGGGAGTATTGTTACCACATACACAACATCACATTCTTTGATTTCACATAATTAAACCTGAGTATTAATACCAGCCTCTGGTTCCACAGGTTTAACACAGATTTTTAAAAAACCAACACAATTCCCCCCTTGCACATAAGCACCTATTCAAAGGGCAAGGGAAATGGCTGGCTCTAACCACCCATTTTGGGATTTATAGGGGAAAGCTGCTCATTCTAAATACACCTGGGAAGGAGATGGGGGTCACCACATGCAGCAGAATGAGGTGGGGGAATCGTGGGTCACTAGAAAGGGCAGTATCATTTCTGATTGTGGGAATGGGCAACATTTGCACCTCGAATAGTAAGAAATTTAAAAGGTCAAAACAACAACAACCCACTAACACCCGGGAAGTTGACGCAGTAGGAAATGGTCTGAGATCAGCTCCTTAAATTGCTACGGTTTTTTTTGTTTTATCTGCAGGAAGCTTGGCAGTGGGAGAGCCAACAAAAATGCCCCCACTTTTGGTCTGAAGTGGTGTAACCCACCCCACCATCTCTAGATTCTACCACCAGCTCATCCTGCCACCTGAGGAGACCCAGGCCCTAGCGACAGCCTAATTGAGTTCAGCAAAACACCTGAGAAGCTGCACACTGGATTGGCTTGTGAGAGCTCCTCAATGATGTATGCTGTGTAAAGTGCTTGAGCTCTCAAGATTCCAAGAAACCTTTCCCTCCACTCATTGAAGTCAGCTGTGCCTTTTTTCTGAGCTCCAATGCTCTTAACAACAACTTGACAGGAAGCAATTGAACAGGTGCAGCAATTCAGCCAGGAGAAGAGGTTGACAGGGAAAAGTTTATTCGGCCAAGTTTCTGCCCCTTATGCAGAATGCCTGCCAGATGGTGGCTGCCCTAATGCTCAGGAAAAGGCACTTTGCACATGTTCAGAGGCACAGTCTATACATTTTATCAATAATAATGTTACCATATATATATATATATATATATATATATATATATATATATATATATAAAATAAATTACCTCAGCATAGGGTTAAGTATGATTTCCAGGTTCCATAATTAAAGCCTGGTTTAAGCTCTGAATGTGACTATGATTGGTGGGTTAATCAGATGCATCAAGAGGGAGGCTTTATTTACAACTGATAACAGGTAACATTTTAAACTTTCTGATGGTAAGAGCTGTTCAGCTGTGGAACAGACTTCTTTTGAAGGTGGTGGACTCCTCTTTTGGAGTTTTAGAAGCAGAGGTTCTAAACTCTACAATTCTACGTTTCTATGACTGTTTGAAATATAGCATGGTTTAGCTTCTTATAAGACATTGAGCCATTAGTCAGCATCTATTCCCTCTGGAAAACAATATTTGAGTTACATTGCATTATGGCTGAATGAGTTTTAATTGATTGTTTGATTTGCATATGAATAAAACAGTAGTTTTGGAGGGGGAACGTATTCTTCCTTTGTTTGTATGTGACATTTTAGAAGAGGGATTAACTTCTGTGTGGGTGTGAAGGGGGAAAGCCCACCATTTAATATCTTACCCCTGTTTGTCAGCGATGCCTGTGCAGCTGATTAAATTGCAGTTAATCAATTACAGATTGCAGCTTTAGCTAATAACACAACAAGAAACACGAAATTCTAAAACACTTTGCATGCAGTTTATAACAAGGAAGGGTGCAAAATCTCCAACCCCCTTTCTCCTTACCTCATTTCCTTACATCTACCTGCCCCCCCCAGTAAACAGCATGACTTGCTTTACAATGCCCAGTCCAGGTTTCAAAACGGAAGATACAGTAAATGATTGCCATGCTGTGAATCAATAAATAATTCTCCACACTTTAGGTGAGCTCTGCACATGTATTAATTGTAGAAAAGGACATTTTGGCAGGTGCAATTCTTCCAATCCCTTCAGTACTATTGCACTAGAACACCCTGTCCCTGCAGAAACTTCCAGTCCAAAGCTCACAAGCAATCCTATGCACGTTGACTCAGCAGGAAGCCCCACCGTGTTCAGTGGACCTTACTCCCTAGTAAGAATGTTTAGGATTGCAGCCTCAGTTTATCAAAACGCTAAACCAAAGAAAAAGTGCATGGTGTTCACTCTACAGAACACATAGATGTAGCTACCTAGTCTTCACACCTTATTAAGGCTATAACCTAAACATATCTGCCTGGGAGCAAGTCTCAATGAACCCGAATCGGATTTACTTCCGAGCAAGCGGGCGCAGGATCAGGCTGCACAGACCTAGGCGACCGGTTTAGTGGGGCTTGGTCCCAAAGAAGCGTGCATAGGATTGCGGGCATATTTATTTAATGACTTGACTGAAGCCGCTTTCTTGCCAGCGTTACTGGTGAGCGCCCTTAACTCCTCCCATTGCTCCCGCAGGGTCATAAAACAGGCTATTAAGAAGCATTTCTAAACCCTCCCTTGACAGCCGAAATAAATTAACGTTCCTTTCCGCAAGATTTTTAAGTGGTCTGGACTAGACTCTCTCTGTCTCCCCACCCCGCTATCCTATCTAGTCAAAGAGAAGCAAGGGAGCACTTTTTAAAAGCGGCAGGTAGTAACACCGGTAAATAAGGGACAGATGGTTTCCACCCCCCCTCCCGCTCCCCGGAGAAATCATTTCTCCATCCAGCAAGTTTCCAGGTTATGCAGAACTCTTCGCCCGGCAGCTGATGCGCTGCTCACTTCTACGGTCTACGACTGCACAAAGCAAACGGGGGCAGAGGAGCAGGTGCAACCAGGTACCCAGAACATTGCAGCAGCTCAGGACGAGGCAACTATACCTTTGGTGAGCCCTGGCTGAAATTAAGTTCTGCCCGGCAGCATGCACTAAACACAAATCACGGCAGGGTGGCTAAAGGGTGCAACGCTCATCTGTGTCTAGTGGATCTGAAAATGCAACTTTCGCCAGGGCGGCTGCTGCTGCTGCTGCTGCGGGCTGTTCTGCTTGAGCTTCTGCCGGCGGTTAATTTCCAAATAATAAAAAAAGAGGTACCGGGGCTCAGAGCTGCCCGGAAACCACATCCCTCTGACCTGGGAAGTCCTTCCCCCTGGTGATCCCAGATGTGTGGGAAATTGGCCGTGGTTGTGCAGTGGCGTTGGCAAAGCACGTTGTGTTCAGAGGCACTTTCCTCTCGCTCGCTCTTTCATTTGTTCCCGGCGATGAGCTTCCCGGCGTTGGAAAAAAAGGCGCTCGGCGCTCAGATCCGTTTCAAAGGAAGCCTTAAATTTTTGCTAATTAAGACGAGAAAGGGTTAACGGGCGGAGCTCTCTGGGTCCTAGAGCCGCCTCGGTTGTTTGGAAGTAGGGGCTTCCTTTTCCCGCTGCACAGCTGGGGAATGCAATAGCTTTTCAGGGTGAGTTGGGGTGGCTGTAACGGGGACACAATCAGTGTGTGTGTGTGTAAAGAAAGCCAAACAGAACAGATAAGCTACAGCTGGGTTTTTTTGTTTTGCTTTTTACCAGTATGGAACAAACTGCGCTCCGGTTTTGCGCATATGGACTTGGAAGTTCCTCTAAGCTCCTTGGGTCTTATTCCCAGTAAATGTGAATAGGATCGCAGCCTCAAAGCGATTGCTCAAAAAAACCCCAAACCCCTCCTTGTTTGTGCTTGCTTTGTAAGTTTGCTGCCTAACAAGCGAATGTCCTACTTCCGTGCGCCAATACAGTGCAAGTCGAGTTCAGAAAGTCTGCAAATTCTACCGTTCGGGAGCTAACTTTTAAGTGGAATTGTTTTCCCACACGCCTTTTTTTTTAAACGAGCAGCGTCAGGTAGAATTGCCAACTTTTCAAGTGGACTCTATGCAGCTCTGCCTTTCATAGCGACTTCCTGTGCAGACATTAGCAGTAGATAAAGTTTCATCTCCTTGATGTGTTTTGGGGGCGGGCAGGCCCGGATCACCTGTTGGATTGTTAAAGGCCACAAAACCGCCAAAGCCCATTAGTTGGTTTGCTGGTGCCAGGACTCTGGTTTGACTAGGAAACCTGGAAGTCTTAGAATATGTAACGATCAGAACTGTGTTTGTTCAGTGGGTGAAAGAAAGATCCTCTTTGCATGTTCAAAGATAAAACATTTATGGACCAATTGGGAGGTTGACCCCCCCCCCTGTTTATTCTTCCACTATCATAATGTGCTGCTGTCACATGCCATCCCAGTTTTGCGCCGTGAATTGCAAGCATAGACTCTGTAAAAGTAATAATAATGATATATTCTACCCTGTTTCCCAAGTAGTTCAGGGCATCATCATTAATTTCATTTAACACTTCCTTTTTGCTATGAAGTCTCAAAGTGACTTGAAAACAGTAAAATACAGGATATAAAAACAATTTAAAAC